TCTTTCTTCCAAGATTTCTACTATGACTTCTTTTATTTGTAACATTCCATTTGCTCCATACTAGCAAAATAATGTTATACACATATTGCAATTCTCTCCAGTCATTAGCCTTATTTTTTACATCCCCTTTATTTAATCAGCTACAGTACTGGATGTTCATTATAATTTTGTTATTCAAATAGTTTTTAATTAATGGCTAAAATTTTCTTATACTGTACTATTACATTAACTTAAAAAATATCTCATGACTACCAGGAATCTGTTAAAAAACATACAAAATCACCTAAGCTGCATAAAAACACAACATAAAATAATGTACATGAAAGTGCTGTACCTATTCCTTTCCCATCTTTCAGTTACTGCAAGTTTAACTGTACATATCATACACACTTTCCTAAAATAAACATGCTTTTATAATTAGCCCTTAAATCAAGAGTGTCATTTAATGGTGCATAAAAATGTCTTAAGTGTATAAATATGTCTTGAGTGAATTTATATGTCTTAAGTGTATTTATGCACCATTTAATGGTGCATACAAATGTCTTAAGTGTATTTATATTTTTATATCAGTATACAATCACTGTGGAGCCAACAATTAATTATGCTTAAGACAATTTGTGTGCAAAAAAACAAGAAAGCTATGTATATCTAATGTATTTATTAAGACATACATTACAGCAATTAAAGGTTTCTTCTTGTTTCTTTCCCCAGAGCCCTTATTACTTTGTCTCAAACACAAATGTGCAAAAATTCAATGACTTTTAAGAGTTCATACAAAATGATTAACTTGAACTCACACATATCTTGCGTTATTTCCCCCGTTTACCATAAAACGCAGCACTAGAGCTGGACACTAGAAAAATGTACCAAAAGTACTATTAATGTTTTTTATATTCACAAAAGAAAGTGTTACATCTGTCAAATTTGAAAATTTATTACCTTTGCCGAGTTATTATTTTAATTATACTTTCATAGATACACAGCAGAACCTCGGCACTTGAACTTAACTCGTTACAGAAGGCTGTTTGAGTGCCGATCAGTTCAAGTACCAAACAAATTTTTCCCAACCAATTTTCTTTTTTGTTGGCTGTTATCACTAATCTTCTTAGGCCTCATGGTGAGTTATTTATACAAATATTAAAAAATACCAAAAAATATGAAGAAACACAAAATAGTTTCAAGTTCTGGCAGGTCACGTTTGTTTGGTTGAGTACCAAGCAAACAGTCAATTACCAAGTGGTTTTTTTACCAAACAAAGCATTTGAATACCGAGGTTCCACTGTATACAAGGTTAATTAACCCTTTCAGGGTCCGTCCCATAGATCTACGGCTTTACGTTCAGGGTCCAAATCGTAGATCTACGCCATGAGCTCAGCTCACTCTGATAAACTGTGAGTGGTACATTTGGGCCTAGATATGAGAGAATACATCTATGTGGTATGTGTGCACCACATAAAACAAATCCTGCAGCACACTGTGTATAATGAGAGGAAAAAAACTGAGACCATGATTTTTTATTAAAACAGCGACTTTGCTGTGTTTTTTCGTATGTTTTATATAGTTGTATTTGCAATTTCTTGGTCTCATTTGATAAAATGGAGGACTTATTACAGAAATAGAGATGATTTTGATTGGTTTTAGCACTGGAAATGGCTTGAAACTGAGCTCAAAGTAGCAGAAATGTTCAATTTTTGCCATTGTTCAAGAGTAAACAAACGACCTCACACGTCTAATACACGCCAGCTGGTGGGTCTAATATACATTCACAAATGTGGTGATATTTCTACAATTATTACAATATTGCATAACAGTAAATCTTCTATTTTTTGGTGTGAATAAAAATTCATTATGTGAATAAAAAATAAAAATTGAATTTATTTGTAAAGCCTCAAAACGTAACTAATGAACAGAGGAGATGTTAGTTTAGTGCCAGGAATACCTACATAGTTTATTCTGGACCCTATTTTGAAATTGGAATATTTTGAACTTTGTGTTAAATTGGCCAAATTACCAATTTCCGATCACTTTATTTTGTAGTTGAAACAGCTGACTTGGTGATTTCTTGTGCTCAATCGATAGAATAGAAGTAATACTAGTGAAATAGCTAAGAATTTGGTCGACTGGAATAATGTAATTGGCCTAAAATGGGAGTCAAAGTCGGCAAAATCGCCGATTTGTAAATATCACTGACACATCAAAATTCGCGAGAGCATAATTTCGTCAATTTTCCATCAAATTTCATACTTTTTGTTTTATTACCTTCACAAAAAGATTCTTACCATTTCATAAGAAAAAATAACAATTCAGATTTTGGCCTTGGACCCTGAAGGGGTTAAGGAAGAAATAATACAAGATTCTCATGGTTCAAGTCCTTTTTAACTTTCTTAGGGAAGAATGTACCTTCTATACATCAGGGCTTCATATAAATGTTATTGATATACTGTACAACTGGAAAACTATAAGGTCTTCCAAAATACTTTTCAGTTTTGCAAATCAAAATACATGTATAAATATATTTTCATGTGCAAAACTATTTATGTAATAATGAACTGCTGTAGTGTATATAAAAATCTGATTTTCATTTTTTAAGACAAAGATAACATCTTACTGGTAGACACTGATTAATGAAAAAAAGCTTCAGTCTTTGCTACACAGAATATGTATTATTATATCATTTGAACTTTCTAGTAGTACTAATTTCTTTTTACATTATTTTCTGTTTCCTTTAGGTTTGTTATTTTTCCTCATTCTCAACCTTCCCTCTGGTCAAAATAGTTTTCAGTTTCTCCATTTCTGAAGATATTTTGTTTAATATTTCAGTTTTTTCCTTTTCATTTTATGAAGTTCCTCTATCACAGCATCCTCTTCAACTTTTGATGCTTCCATAATTTCCTCAAGTTTTCGTTTAACCCTTTCTACGTTCGACACTGTCTTCATAACAAAGTCACCACTTGCTGCCTCACTAGCATCAAGTTTCTCTTGCATCTCATCGTCACTTTCACTTTCCTGACTGATATGAATCTGGGTCTTAGCACACCTTTTCAAACTCTTACCTGCATTTATCTGCTCATCTTTTTCTAAGCCTTTTTTGCACTCATTTGTACAGATAACTTCATTTTTGTTTAAGGTCTGAGCATTAACCACTTCATCTTCACTTGTCTGTGCAACTCTTTCACTCTCCTCTTTAACAGATCCTTTTAAGGTACTCGAGAAGCCCAAAATTTTCTCACCTGCATCACTGTCATTACTTATCTTGCCTGTCTTTGATTTATTTTTCCCTATTTCATTATTGCATTCCACTGTTTTCCTTTCCTCGCTCTTTGTATCTGCTGCCTTACTTATCAAGAACACATTTTGTGTATAATTTTGATGATCTTCAGCTACAATTCTGGCAATGTTTGAGGTTGTGACGATTATCTTCTTGGCACCCAAAATGTTGACTCTGTCATTGTGTATGGATTTCCCATTGTCATCAACACCTGTTGTATCACTGTGTCTTAGATTCTCTTTAGTTAATATGGTCTGACAAGCTATGGCATCAGCATCTTTGCGCTCACTCTTTGTGGTTGTCACTTTAACTGCAATACACTTCAGATCAGTGTTTTTAATGTCATCTTGTAATTTTTTATCTACATTGCCATTATTTCTTTCTCTCTGTTTATCTTCACTTTTGGTAATTTCACCATGAACTTCAGGCTGGAGCCTATGGCCAATTGCACATGCCTCACCAGCTTTTACCTGACTTCCACTCTGTTCAACCTTGACCTCTTTTTTTCCTTCATGATCATCAGGTACATTTTGTTTGTTATCTTCATGTTTACTGTATGGAAAGGTATCTAGCAATGGCCTTGTGTTCCCACTTGTTGAAGAAACCTGTTTTGCATCTGTGTTCTCCATCATATCATCATCATCTACCGTCTCATCATTATAATCATCTCCACATACCATTACATCATATTCTCCTTCAGGTGCCATCACATCATCATCACATGCTATATTATCTCCCAAGCTTTCACTTGCTTTTGCATCACTGCCTCCGTCTTTCATAATATCATTTCTTCTTTCAGTTTTCATAATGCCACCTTCATTTTTTTCACCTACTACTGTAACCACATCCTGCTTTTCTTCTTTTCGAACTTTCTTTTCTTCAACCACATCATCATCCTCTTCTTTACCTGCCATCCTTTCAGCTGCCACATCCAACTCCTCTTCAGCCATATCCTCTTCTGCTGCATCCTCCTCCTCCTCATCTTCCATTACATCCTCCTCTTCTACAACATCCTCCTCTTCTACCACATCCTCTTCGTCTACCACATCCTCCTCGTCTACCACATCCTCCTCATCTACCACATCCTCTTCCTCTTCTACATCTTCCTCCTCTTCTACATCCTCCTCCTCTTCTATCACATCCTCCTCCTCCTCATCTTGTGTCACAATTCCCTTTATGTTACCAACCATATCTTCAATTTTGCTACTTGCCAAGACTTTTTTATCAGTATCTATCATATCTTCCCTTTTGTTTGTCACTTCTTTGTCTGTTATATGATCCTTTTTGTCATCATCTGCCATATGTTGATTCTCCTTCTTTACATCATTTGTCTCATCTTTTGCTTTAGTCGTTATATCATTTTCATTATAAACCATATCATTTACCTCACATTCCTTTCTTTCATTTGTCACATCTTTTTCTTTACTTGTCCCATCTTTATCAACTAACATATCATCTTCCTTTTCTTCACCTAGTGAATCACCTTCCTTTTCTCCAGCTGCTGAATTACCTTCCTTTTCTTCACCTGCTGATCATTTCTTTTTCACCTGCTGAATCATCTTCCTTTTCTTCACCTGCTGAATCATCTTCCTTTTCTTCACCTGCTGAATCATCTTCCTTTTCTTCACCTGCTGAATCATCTTCCTTTTCTTCACCTGCTGAATCATCTTCCTTTTCTTCACTGGCTGAATCATCTAATTCTTCACAAGTTGCATTAACTTTGTCTTCACCTGTTCTCTCTTCCATTACTGTACCTGCCACATCTTCTTTCTATTACTTGTCACATCTTTTTTGTCAGCTAACGCACTGTCTTCCTTATCTTCACCTGTCAAGTCATCGTCTAGTTCTTCACAGGCTGTTTTATCTTTGACTCCACCTGATGCATCTTCCTTTTCTTTCCTTGCCACATTGTCATTTTCACCATATAACATATTGTCTTCTACCTCATATTCCTTTGCATGATCTGTCACATCTTTCATTGTTTCTAACACATACTCTTTTTCTTTACTTTCCATATCTTCTTTGACATCATCAAACATATCTTCCATTTCTTCACCTGCTATATCTAGATTTTCTTTATCTGTTACAATTTCTTTTCTTTCACTTGCAATATCTTCATTTTCTTCGAATGTGGCATCATCATCAGTGTCTTCACCTGCCAATACATTACCTTCTGCTTCCTCACTGGCATCTACATAATCCATTTCCTCACCAGGTACAGCCTCATCTTTCATTCCTTCACTTGCCATCCTATCATCATCCGTTTCTTCGCCTGCCATCATATCATCTGTTTCCTCACCTGCCACACCATCATCTGTTTCTTCGCCTTCTACTCCATCATCTTCTGTTTCTTCACCTGCCATATCATCTGATTCTTCACTTCCATCATCATCCATTTCTTCGCCTGCCACTACATCATCCATCTCTTCGCCTGCCACTACATCATCTATTTCTCTGCCTTCCAGTGCATTTTCATTTTTCTTTCCTGCCATAGCTCCACCATCAATTTCTTCACTTGTCACATCATCATTTTCTTCATCTGCAATCAAATCATCACCACTTGCCATGACATCCTTTTCACCTTTATCTGACTCATTCAATTTTAATCCTACGCCTAAGTTTCCAAACATCACTCCACTTGCAGTGTGTGTTACTTTAAGGTCTTTTACTATGTCCTCATTTGTATTACAGCTACTGTCTTCAGAGCCATACACACATGCATCAATAACCAAAGATTCTTTTGTCTCTTCTTGTCTCTTCTCACTTCTGATACGCTCTTCATTCTCCTTTGCAGTTCTTCTCACAAATGAATCTATGGATTCATCACTTTCCTCAGTATTATGTTCCATTATAGCTTCAAAATAGCCTCCATCATGTCCTCCCTATCTTTCACTTCGGTTCCTGAATCTTCACTCACATTCATTATCTCACATACAGAGTTTTCATCATCTTTGTTGTTATGGCCATATTCCAAAGAAGACATTTTTACACTTCTGGCTAGTAAATGTCCATATAAAAATGCAACATATTTTCTTGGAGGACACAATAATGATGTTAACGCAAAACTTGCAGGTAATGATTTTTTTTTCCAAGAGTGCTGATGAAAAGTTATCTGAAAAATGAAAATGAAAGATATAGAGTATGAATTTGTAAATGCCTTATCTGGAAGTTAAGAAAATATACAAGACACAAATATAACATTGGAAGCTAAAGAACAAATTGTGCTAAAAATGTAGTAGAGGCATACCTTAAAAACAATGTTTGGAGTCCTTTCAAGAGTTCAGAGTATGACAGAGAGACAGCAGTAAAAAGGGAACCATTTTGCAGAGGAAAAGATTCAACCTTAAATCTAAAAAACACAATACAAAGGTCAATTAACACTCATCCACATTGAACATCTGCCTCTGTGTATAGTTCAGTGAATACAATTATTGTTGGCAAAATATAATGCTGCAAGTCTTGGCATGACAAATGTGTGGTGATGAACCCAATACTATAAATGATGTTATCACAAAATACAAAATTACTGAAATTAACCTGTAAGCGGTCCAGGCAGATCTATGTTCACATGTGTAGTGCTCCAAAAGTAGATCTACGTCTTTTTTACATATTTTCAAATATAGCAAAAAAAAAAGTAGATCAAAGTTTTTTTACACATTTTCAAATGTAAAAAAAAAAAAAATCTACTTTTTTTACATACTTTCAAATGTTGAAAAAACGTATATATACATTTGGACCGTTTACGGGATAACAAATGAACAAATTATTGAAGATGGAACACCATGAGCATAGCTCAGCTCCTGTAGGTACAAATAAGGAATTACAGATATGCAATTATACTTTAAAAATAGTTATGATAGGGTTCACACAGCCATAAGAGAGTGAACCTAGTAGCAACCAGAGATGTAGGGTCAGGAACTGAGACTCAACCCTTACAACCACAAACTGGTGAGTACAAATAGGCGAGTACCCAGGCACCTACTTACTGCTAAGTGAACAGGGGTAATAAATGCAAGGAAAGAAACCCACTTCCACATATACCAAGGTCCTTCCACTGAGTTGAAGGTTCAGGTGGTAACATCGCTGGCTCACACCTGAAGAACTTGTATTCAATCTAGGCACAAGTGGAAATGTTGGTCATGTTTCCTCCCACCTATTGCCTGTGTTTAATTAATAATAATAATAATAATAATAATAATAATAATAATAATAATAATAAATAAATAAAATAAACTAATATAATTATAATAATAAATAAATAAAATAAGCTAATATAATTATAATAATAATAATAATAAATAAAATAAATATAATAATAAAAAATAAACTAATATAAATAATAATAATAATAATAATAATAATAATAATTGCTAATAATAATATAATAATTGTAATTATTAATAAGGAATTAGGAATATTATTATTAAATATTATTAATAATTATATTATCATCATTATTAAGAATTAATGTATTATTATTATAATGAGGGAAATGTAAGCAAGTTTATTTAGGCACAAGTACATATAAGTACAATTATCATACACAGTGCAAATTACCCACCAGGATAAACCAAAAAAGTAAAGACAAAGTGACTTATTTCCATTTCCCAAAGGAGTCACACAGCACCTGAGGAAGTGAGACTCGGAGACAATCAGTTCTGATCATAGGAAGTGGAGGAGTAGCTCTAATTCCATAGATCAAGAGCCCTTCACTAGCATCAAGCCTCCTCACTTGAAGGGGACCTGTTGCCCCTACTCACCTAAGAATTAACTAAGTACCTGGATGTTGGTAGATTGTTTTGGGTCGTGTCCTTGGGAAGGGACCCCCAAAGGACCCCAGTGGAACTAACCCAGACATAATGGTTTAACTGGGTTTACCTGGGTTAATAATCCGAATAAAATCTCCACTCCAGCCGTGAGCTTCACAAGCACATATTCATGCGGCTGAATAACATGGTCATTATCGCCTCCCACTACACACTTTACACGTTAATTACTGCTAATTGTATTTTAGAATCTTAATAAATAGGAATAATGGCCTTACACAGTCTTTAAAACATCAATTACTTGGTAATTTAGCATAAATAATAACCATGTAGTAAGCCCAAGCGGCGGCAACTGTTGGCGTGTTGATATTGGTGTTAAGGCAGTGAACACCTCCAGGGAATGAACCAAGCATTGAACACTTCCAACCATCAATGTAACTAGCGCATACTATGATTGATAAAAGAATTTAATGGTGTTGGTTCCATGGAACACATCAAGTAAACAACAAACTTGAGGTAATAATTCAGCATTTCAGTATATTCACAACCTTTACGGGAAATAAAATTTTATCAATTGTCTGGTCTAAACCCATTGGGAAAAAGTCACTTTGTCTGGCATTATACGTTGTCCCCTGCTAAAGAATTGGGACAGGAAATTTATTGGACCTCAAAAATTGTGTGTGGAGGACAGAAAAGTAAAGGACTTCAACGAATCCTTCACAACAACATACCTTAGCTAAGTGGCACTTATCCATAATGTACAGTAGTTTTTGCACAGGCCATTGTAAATCCTACCTGCTAGGGTAGTGTTAGGGTGTGTTCCATGAGCATTAAGTGTCTTCCAGTAATTAAATAGTAAGTGCTAATGCCAGTTATATTTTGTTTACCCAGCAAGCCTAATCCTATGCAGTCCACACAATTTTAATTACCAGAGTAGCTGGCATTAGTATTATAATTATTAATTTAATATCAGGTATAGCTTTTTGTGAGAGTAATAAAGAAGTGGGCAGTCGAAGGAGTTTCAGTTCAGTGACCTACTGTGACTAAGTCCCATTTACCTCTCACAAATTACTTGCAGGTAATAATTTAGATAATATCCTATAAGTCTCCTGCAGGTGATTTTCTATTATAATAATAATGTTCAAAAGATGTTAAAGAGTATTTCTTCAGTCTTAGGTTGGTCAGAAAGTGGAATGACCTCGACATGGAAGTGGTCGGGGCAGACTTTAAAGAGTTTTAAGAATGGGGCCCACAAGGCTAGGAGTGAATCTGGCAAGCGGCAGGTTGAGAGGTAGGGGGCAGGAGATGAAACTCGACCTCTGCAACCACATATTGGTGAGTATAATCTAGCATCAAAAGATGTTTTTTGTGCACATCAGTTTTGCAGGCTAAGAGTTATCCTGCCTCAGCTTATTTAAAGCCCAGCTCTATCTAGGATGCGACCCACAACAGTCAACTAACACCCCAGCTTACATATTGACTATAATAATAATAATCTTTATTTCTATATGTACAGTCCTAGCTGACATCAATGACATACTACTATGTAGGAAGCCCCTTGTTATGCAGAGCATTAGGTCAATATGTCTCCAGGATGCGACCCATGCTAGTCGACTAACACCCAGATATCTGTTTTACTGATAGGTAAACATGGACAGCAACATCCCCCAATGAAAAGCAGGGGCGCCACAAGTACACTAAGGACAACACAATAAGTGTCAAGGGCCCATGACTGTTCAACTGCCTCCCAGCATACATAAGGGGGATTACCCATAGATCCTTGGCTGTCTTCAAGAAGACTTTGGACAGGCACCTAAAGTCAGTACCTGATCAGCCGGGCTGTGGTTCGTACGGCTGTTTACGTGCGGTCAACAGTAACAGCCTGGTTGATCAGGCCCTGATTCACCATGAGGCCTGGTCACAAACTGGGCCGTGGGGTTGTTGACCTCAGAAACCCTCTCCAGGTATACTCCAAGTAACATGTTCTAATATTTCCACCCGGACTTCAATGTGTGAGTTGAGAGCGCTGGTAAGCCAGTTACGGGACAGCCACTCAAAAGAAGCATTCTTTAGTTATACAAAAAATGAATATCTGAAGGGTGTTCTGAGGGTCAACGCCCCCGCAGTCCGGTCCATGACCAGGCCTTGTGGTGGACCAGGCTGTTACTGCTAGCCTCACGCAAACCGACGTATGAACCACAGCCCGGCTGGTCAGGTACTTTAAGTATCTGTCCAGCGCCTTCTTGAAGACAGCCAGGAGTCTATTGGAAATTCCCCTTAAGTATGCTGGGAGGCAGATGAATAGTCTTGGGCCCCAGACACTTACTGTGTTGTCTTTAGTGTACTCGTGGCGCCCCTGCTTTTCATTGGGGGATGTTGGATGTTCGCAATCCTCTTTATGTATGATGGTAGGCAGTTGAATATCACTATTTATTCAATAAAATCGGCAAATTAGGATTTATAATTGTAATACTTATGTAAATTGTTTTAACTTGTTCTAAATTGTATTACTGTACTTTTTTATAAACTATATCAAAACTGTACTTATTCTCTACTGAACTGCTCTACTAGATTTATTAAAGGCATATAGCATTAACTAATAGAATACTCCATCCTCTTGTACTCATTGTAACTCATCTAATGACCATATGAACTGTTATTGCCTTATTAATCTTAAGATCATTTTAAGTTTGCCCTAAATGCTCTGCATACAAAGGACTTTTGGCATGTACACCAACTATTATATTCCTTTGTACAACCATGTATCAGGTAAAAATAAAAATTATTATTATTATTATTATTATTATTATTATTATTATTATTATTATTATTATTATTATTATTATTATTATTATAGTGACAGCGTGAACCTAGTGTTCAGGAAACCACACCAGTGGATCGACAATCCAAATGAATTCTTTACGAACGAAACCCAAAATTTCGTCATCCCAAAGCTCTCGAATATTATTATAACTCCACAAGATTTTGAAGAGGCAATTATTGACATGCCCATGCACTGTGCCCCAGGTCCAGACTCATGGAACTCCGTGTTCATCAAGAACTGCAAGAAGTCCCTATCGCGTGCCTTCAGCATTTTATGGAGAGGTAGCATGGACACAGGGGTCATCCCACACACACTAAAAACAAGAGACATAGCCCCACTCCACAAAGGTGGCAGTAAAACAATTGCAAAAAACTACAGACCGATAGCACTAACATTCCATATCATAAAAATCTTTGAGATGGTTCTAAGAAGCAAGATAACCAACCACCTAGATACCCATCAGTTACACAACCCAGGGCAACACGGGTTTAGAACAGGTCGCTCCTGCCTGTCCCAGCTACTGGACCACTATGACAAGGTCCTGGATGCTGTAGAGGATAAACAAAATACAGATGTAGTATACACAAACTTTGCAAAATCTTTCGACAAGTGCGACCATGGTGTAATAGCACACAAAATGCGGGATAAAGGAATAACGGGAAAAGTTGGTAGATGGATCTACAACTTCCTGACAAATAGAACACAAAGAGTAAAGTCCCAGGCAGCCATGGTAAAAAGCTCTGTTCCACATGGCACAGTACTCGCTCCCATTCGATTCTTCATCCTCATTTCTTTGCGGATGACACCCGGATCACCATGGCAGTGACCTCCATCGAAGACACTGCGAGACTCCAAGCGGACATCAACCAAATCTTCGAATGGGCCACTCAAAACAATATGAAGTTCAACGAGGAGAAATTTCAACTACTCAGATATGGAAAACTTGAAGAAACTAAAAATGTGTCAGGGTATACCATAAATTCTAACCATACAATAGAGCGGAAAAGTAATGTGAAGGACCTGGGAGTGATAATGTCAGAGGATCTCGCCTTCAAAGACCACAACAATGTATCTACCTCATCCACTAGGAAAATGATAGGATGGATAATGAGAACCTTCAAAACTAGGGACGCCAAGCCCATGATGATTCTCTTCAAATCGCTTGTGCTCTCTAGGCTGGAATACTGCTGTACACTAACGGCCCCCTTCAAGGCTGGCGACATTGCAGACCTGGAGTGTGTACAAAGAACTTTCACGGCACACATAAGTGCAATAAGGCACCAAACTACTGGGAACGGTTGAAGGTCCTTGATCTGTATTCCCTCGAACGCAGGCGAGAGAGATACATGCTAATATACACTTGGAAGGTCCTGGAGGGATTGGTACCAAACTTGCACACGAAAATCACTCGTACGTTGGTTTGCGTGCAGCCAGCAGCAACAGCCTGGTTGATCAGGCTCTGATCCACCAGGAGGCCTGGTCACAGACCGGGCCGCGGGGGCGTTGACCCCCGGAACTCTCTCCAGGTAAACATATGAAAGCAAAAGACTCGGCAGGAGATGCAACATTCCCCCGATGAAAAGCAGGGGTGCCACGAGTACACCGAGAGACAACACAATAAGTATCCAGGGCCCAAGACTGTTCAATTGCCTCCCAGCATACATAAGGGGGATTACCAATAGACCCATGACTATCAAGAAGGCACTGAACAGGCACCTAAAGTCAGTTCCTGACCAACCGGGCTGTGGTTCGTACGTCAGCTTGCGTGCAGCCAGCAGTAACAGCCTGGTTGATCAGACCCTGATCCACCATGAGGCCTGGTCTCAGACCGGCCGCGGAGGCATTGACCCCCGAAACCCTCTCCAGGTAAGTGATGATAATTTGAAGCCGATCAGGATAGTCATTCTCCAGTTATGGCACGGATTCAGAATCTAGTTTTTTGTAACTATTTTTATTTTCCTGCATGCAAATTAAACTTAATGGGTATTATCCTGGTCCTAAGATGAATCAGTCATTAAATACTAAGCCCAGTCACGCTAGCCAATACTGTAAACACCGAATTACAGAAAATATCTACCTGGATGAGGACTAACAAACTTACACTAAACATTGACAAAACCTACTTCATTCAGTTTGGTAACAGAGCTACAGATGTCCCTCTTAACATAATGATAAACGGATCACCTATCACAAAGCTAACAGAGGGAAAATTCTTAGGAATCCACCTTGATAATAGACTCAAATTTCATACACATATACAACAAATTTCTAAGAAAATTTCCAAGACTGTAGGCATACTATCGAAGATACGGTACTATGTTCCACAGTCAGCACTCCTGGCCCTTTATCACTCTCTTATTTACCCCTATCTCACCTATGGAATTTGTGCATGGGGCTCAACAACAATTAACCATCTCAGACCACTAATTACCCAACAAAAGGCTGCAGTTAGAATGATAACAAATTCTCACTACAGGCAGCACACTCCACCAACATTCAATACACTAAACCTACTCACCATACAAAACATCCATACTTATTACTGCACCTATTACATACATAGAACACTTAACTGATATTAACCCTCCCCTCAAACATCTCCTTGCCAACCTCAACAGAACACATGACCATAACTCAAGGCACAGATCACTCTTTGATGTTCCTCGTGTCCATCTCACACTATGCAAAAACTCAATGCACATAAAAGGCCCTAAAATCTGGAATTCATTACCTGTAAATATAAAAGAAACACTACCTGTTTATAAATTCTAGTCTCTTCTCAAAGATCACTTACTCACCCAAAACCAAATAAATACTGAATAACTGAACCTTATAAATTGTATATCTTAAATGTTTCTCACAATTATATCACATAAATGTTAAACCTAAAACCCAATCTAACTTTATTATTTTTTAAATACACTACCTAACAGAATACTCCATTCTACTGAATGTACAACAATGCATGCAACCATATAACCTGTCTTTGTAATACTCATTTGTGCTTTATAGTAATCTGTTTACAATAATGTTTTATCACTGATTTCATCATTGCTTAGTTAATCTTAAGTTAATTTTAAGCCAGCCCGTAATGCTATGCATAGTGTAAGTGGCTTTGGCATGCTGCTCTTATCTGTATTTTTTTGTACCTCTGTATGTGTGCTCAAATTGTTAATAAATAAATAAATAAATAAATAAATAAATACTGGAAAGAGGTAAACTGAATTGTTTTTAAATGTCATTTAACGTGAATAAAACTTACACTTTGTACTCATAAAATGGTCATGATCAAATTTACATTTACACATCTGAATTTGACTCTCCATCATTGGTTTGAATGTTTTTGTCACCTTGAGTGTCTGAAGCTGCACCGCTGAGGCCCCTCAAGGAAGGTTCCTTGATGTTGGCGAGGGGCTCTTGATTTAGGGAATTGGATCTGTGCTCCAGTTCCCTGAATTAAGCCTGAATGCCTTCCACATCCCCCAGGCGCTGTATAATCCTCCGGGTTTAGCGCTTCCCTCCTTGATTATAATAATAATAATAATGCACCGCTGAGGATTTTGGAAGTTATCTAAACCATTCCAGAATGAAAATAGGTTCAGTAACTTTGGTTATAGTTTTTAGTTTAATATGTTTATTATGCACACCCCATACCCGTCCTGTGGGTGGTAGTCAAAAGATTACAGAAGTACATAATGGGTCCAGGAACTGGACCCCAAAGTTATGATAGATGAACTACTTACAAAGGTAATGAACTCCAGGTAGATTTGGTCACAATCATGACAAGTTACGAAGGGATTTACAGATTACAGAGGTGCATAATGGGTCCATGGACTGGGCCCTAAAGGGCCCAGTCCATGGGCCCTTTAGGGCCCGGTAACGAGGGCTAAGAATTTATCCCTCGTTACCGCACACGTGTTGAAAACTTGAAACCGATTGGTAAAGAACACCCTTCGAGTTTATCATGTGTCTAAAGCAAGCACCATAGAAGTAGTAAAATGCAAAAGTATCTGCTGTATTTAATGTAAATGAAGCATATCTTTCCGTCATTTTTTTTTTTTTTAAGTAATGGATTTGAAGAAGGTTTAGGTTAGTTATTCACTGAGTTCAGTACGTCAACAAAGATGTCTGCCAACGGGGTTGCTGCACACTGTTGTGAAACTCCAGGCTGTAATGCCGAGGCTAAGCTGCAATGTCCAACCTGCATCAAATTAAACATACAAGGATCATTCTTCTGCTCACAGGTGAGGCGGATTTTGATCCTATTTAGGAGTGTGTAGCAGCGCTGTATAGCCCTTGTGGCTTAGCGCTTCTTTTTGATTATAATAATAATTTGATTATAATAATAATAATTAGGAGTGTGTAGTTTAGCGGTTGTGGTGCTTGCATCATCCTCACATTTTTTCTTCATTAGTTTATTTAGATACAGGTACACATAAGTACAGTTATTATACATAGTGTAAATTACCCATAATAAACCCCCCAAAAGATCAAAGTGACTTATTTCCACTCGGGTCATTTAATAGTAATTTTATAATTTACGGTGGCTCGTTACATGTGGTTTACAGGTTATGAATTTATGTATCATTGCATGAAACACATTGTTATATGTTCCTCATGGGAGGTTCCTTGATGCTGCTTAGGGAGGGCTCTTGATCCAAGGAATTGGACTTTTTCACCCCTTGGATCGAATCTGATTGCCTTCCATTCCCAGGTGCGGTGTGACCCCGTGGGTTTAGCACTTCCCTATAATAATAATAATAATAATAATAATAATAATAATATCTGAACAAATTCATATGTACATCCATTCATGCATACATAGTTCATACACACATCATACATACGATCATACATGTATCATACATCTACATACATTCATTGGTAGTAAATTGTAATCTGGTATATAACCTAGAAGAACCAGATTTATTTGATATATTTTCAATCCAATTTTATTTTTTTAAGCATTCATAATTGTTACATGTAGAGGACATTTTATTTCATTCATTTATTAAAGCCCGTGGTCATGAAGAGTATTTTAGTCAAACTAAGACTCTAGTGTCATATTAAGGTTCTGGTCTTGATTAATAGTGGTTTCATCATAATATTTTCACATTGTTATATTATCAGGGAACTGAGTCTCAAAACTCCAGACGTTAGCCGTCAGAAGCCAAATTGTGTCATATAGTTTGTCTATTAATGTGGTTTCACTATTTTTCATTTTTTGTTCAGGGATGAGTCCAAATGTGCGTTTATCAGGGTACTGTATTGTAATAATTTTAATGTAGATTTTACAGGTTATTTGTTTATTTTTCAGAATTGCTTCAAAGGTTATTGGGAGTCACATAAATTGCGTCATAAAAAGCCTAGTAAGTATATCTTGTTTTTTTTTTTACACCAACTAAATTTGTCTGTGCTTAATATATTGTCTGCTTCTGCATATTGTAAACTTACATCATTACATTAATGCTTATCTTATATTTGTGAATAGAATTAGTATATGCAGACAAATGAATATCTGAAAACATTTATGTTTGATAAGTATATACTGTATTAGTGTGCTGATGAATTTGTATAGAGATTGTTTGGGTATGCTGAATGTGCAGTGAATAATTTAAATACACATTACAGTATTCTTGATAGTGTTTAGGTGCAAATGGATGAGCCAGGGGATTGTGTTGATACAGATAATTGAATTTAGGTATAATTTAGTAAACTTTCTTGTCTCTTACAAAGATCCTCTCTATAGTGCTATTTTTTGTAAATGTGCATGGAAAAAGTGCATTCAAAATTGAATAGCCCCTGAAAAATACATACATTCATTGTACATGCTATTCAGTTTTTTATGCAGTTTTTCAATTGTATGTGCAAAAATAGAATAGAATAGCTGTTGATGAGAGCTCACTGTAGCTTCTGCACTGAATTGCCATCCTAGGAATGAATAGGGTATCAAGACTGAAATGTTTCGTACTGTCTTAAATAATTTGCACATGTTGTCTTCCACCAACTCCTAGGTACTGTATGTATGCATAGGTGAATATAGGCAGAAGGTGTATGGAGACCTGCATGTCTTTGTTTCTTACATTGTCACCTCAATTTGATCAGGCAATAAGTAGTATTTTTGTAGTAATCACACAGTATTGTTCTGTACAAAAGACTTAATTTACCAAGTTACTCACTATATGTTAAAGATCAACCATTACTTCAGTGTGTTGTAAGGGTCTTTTTGGCCAAATATTTTCTGATTTGTAAAGAATTTTGTAACATCATAATAAAGACCTATTTGCTCTGTCTTTTCTTTGGGAATATTACTTCAGAATTTTTTTTATATTTCATGATTGTTAATTAAAATGTCCTAAATCTAAGCATTTCTTGCCTGTGTACTGGAAAAAGCTATGTACATGTCTTTTATAAACTAAAGTAAAAACAGTATAATTTGAATTTGAATTTGAATTTTGATTTAATGGACAGTAATGGGCAGATCTGTAACCAGTAGACTTTATCCATCGTTTCTGAGTCAGTTTACTCAGCAAATTTTTGTCCCATATTTCTAAAGTTTGTTAAATTGAGGTCCATTAAGTCAAAGATTTACAGTATTTGGCTTGACTTGTTTTATTGTAACTATGCATTCTGTACCAATTGTATGGGTTAAGGAACAGACCCAAAAGCACTTTTCTTGGTTCAATGAGTTAGTGAGAATGAGTGATTTACACTGGGAAAATAGGATGTGTGGGTAGGATTCTTGACAATTATGTAATTTTTGCAGAAATGTGTAGACATTTGTTGAACATTGATGAGAAATTTCTTGTAACTGCTTGTTTTTTTTGTAGTCGTGTACTTAATGCTGCAGGGAGAGAGAGAGAGAGAGAGAGTTCAACTGACAAGGTTTTCTGTTGGCTAGAATTATACATCAGTTGGTGGTACAAATTCCAAGACGTATTTGTAGTCGAGTTAAAAATTGTGCAATAGTAATATTTGAGAGTACCTATTTTGTTAGATAAGCCTAAAATATGTTGCTTTTCTTGCATGATTAAAGTAGAATAGAAGGAATCAACTGTCAATTGTGCTCCATCATGTGTCTCAGAGAAATGTGCTGATTTTATAAAGATGGTTGGGAATTGTCCCTGCAACTACCTACATTAATTCACTCCTATTGCCTTTGTGCCCTGTGCACCTTAATTTTTTATTTCTATCTTCCACCTCATCTTAGCATTGCAGATTGACCCAGAGGATTTAGTGCTTTCCACTAACATAATAGTTAAAATAACTTGAATTGCATGTCAATACAATATTGAATTACAATAACTATTTATGAAACTTTTCTGTATAATACAGAAAAGGTACCAAGTGCTTAAAATCCATTTTCAGTCTACTGTATGTAATATACAGTATGCTAGAATACTTATCTAAAATATGGTTGGTTTGCTTCTACGTATTGTGTATATGCTAAGTTCTTTTCATGTTCTCAGTGCCTTTATCAGTTAAAATTTGCACAAGTATGGTACATTCTTCCACCTTGGCTGATTCTGTCTCTTATTCGTCTTTTAGATTTAGTACAGTAGACTCCTGAAAAATAACTCATCTTAACAACATGTTTTCAATATAACATGATTGAGATTTTGTGCCAAATTTTGTATTTGCATGGAAGAAAGATTGCATGGAACACAATAAATTTAAGGGGGAAAATATGCCACACCACAGGATCTTTTTCCTCTGTTTGGTAGTTAACCCCCCTAGTAGATCTACTTTCTTCAGATTTGTTCAGCTTTGCATATACATTTATTCAGCAGTATACATTATGTACAGCTACCCACAGTTTTGTCTCCATTATTCTTCATGTATCTGCCGTTGTAGCTCTTTCACTGCACTTGTATCATTCTCTTGCCATTCTCTGCCTTAGGTTAGTTAATGTCAAACTTTATATATTTTACTAGTAACAATTCATTAGTCTCATAGAAAGAAATTGTCTTTGTTGTACCAATGTACTTTTCTTTTTATTATTTTTACATTCATGCTAATCATTTAAATTTCTTCTCACTGAGAGGTGATGGCATTTAATTCCTCAGTGTCACTATAGCAGTTGGTTGCATGCATTTTGTTTGATGACTTTTTAATTAAAAATGCCAGTACAGTGGACCCCCGCATACCGTTGGCATCACATAACGTTAAATCCGCATACCGATACATTTTATCGCTAAGATTTTGCCTCGCATACCGCTAAAAAACCCGCTCAACGCTATTCGTTCGAGTCGCGTCTAATGTGCGGCCTGAGCCAGCCTCACATGTTCCGCCGGTGGCATTGTTTACCAGCCAGCCTCCGCGGTAACATCCAAGCATACAATCGGAACATTTCGTATTATTACAGTGTTTTTGGTGATTTTATCTGCAAAATAAGTGACCATGGGCCCCAAGAAAGCTTGTAGTGCCAACCCTACAGGAATAAGGGTGAGAATTACTATAGAGATGAAGAAAGATCATTGCTAAGTATGAAAGTGGAGTGCGTGTCTCCGAGCTGGCCAGGTTGTATAGTAAACCCCAATCAACCATCGCTACTATTGTGTCCAAGAAAACGGCAATCATGGAAGCTGTTCTTGCCAAAGGTTCAACTGTGTTTTCGAAACAGAGATCGCAAGTGATAGATGATGTTGAGAGACTCTTATTGGTGTGGATAAATGAAAAACAGATAGCAGGAGATAGTATCTCTCAAGTGATCATAAGTGAAAAGGCTAGGAAGTTGCATGAGGATTTAATTAAAAAAATGCCTGCAACTAGTGATGATGTGAGTGAATTTAAGGCCAGCAAAGGTTGGTTTGAGAGATTTAAGAAGCGTAGTGGCATATATAGTGTGATAAGGCATGGTGAGGCTGCCAGTTCGGACCACAAAGCAGCTGAAAAATATGTGCAGGAATTCAAGGAGTACATAGACAGTGAAAGACTGAAACCTGAACAGGTGTTTAATTGTGATGAAACAGGCCTGTTTTGGAAGAAAATGCCAAGCAGGACCTACATTACTCAGGAGGTAAAGGCACTCCCAGGACATAAGCCTATGAAAGACAGGCTTACTCTTCTCATGTGTTCCAATACTAGTGGTGATTGCAAAGTGAAGCCTTTATTAGTGTATCACTCTGAAACTCCCAGAGCGTTCAGGCAAAAGAATATCCTCAAGGCTAATTTGTGTGTGCTGTGGAGGGCAAACAGTAAGGCATGGGTCACTAGGGACTTTTTCTATGACTGGTTACACCAAGCATTTGCCCCCAATGTGAAAAATTACCTAACTGAAAAGAAATTAGACCTTAACCCTTTCAGGGTCCGTCCCGTAGATCTACGGCTTTACGTTCAGGGTCCAAACCGTAGATTACGCCATGAGCTCAGCTCACTCTGATAAACTGTGAGTGGTACATTTGGGCCTAGATATGAGAGAATACATCTATGTGGTATGTGTGCACCACATAAAACAGATCCTGCAGCACACTGTGTATAATGAGAGAAAAAAACTTAAATCATGATTTTTCGATTAAAACAGCAACTTTGCAGTGTTCTTTCGTATGTTTTTTATAGTTGTATTTGCGATTTCTTGGTCTCATTTGATAGAATGGAAGACATATTACAGAAATAGAGATGATTTTGATTGGTTTTAGCACTGGAAATGGCTTGAAACTGAGCTCAAAGTAGCGGAAATGTTAAATTTTTGCCGATATTCAAGAGTAAACAAACGACCTCACACGTCTAATACACGTCAGCTGGTGGGTCTAATATACATTCACAAATATGGTGATGATATTTATACAATTATTACAGTATTGCATAACAGTAAATCTTCTATTTTTTGGTGTGAATAAAAAATTCATTATGTGAATAAAAAATCAAAATGGAATTTATTTGTAAAGCCTCAAAACATAACTAATGAACAGAGGAAACGTTAGTTTAGTGCCAGGAATGCCTACATTGTTTATTCTGGACCCTATTTTGAAATTGGAATATTTTGAACTTTGTGTTAAATTGGCCAAATTAACAATTTCCGATCACTTTATTTTGTAGTTGAAACAGTTGACTTGGTGATTTCTTGTGCTCAATCGATAGAATAGAAGTAATACTAGTGAAATAGCTAAGAATTTGGTTGATTGGAATAATGTAATTGGCCTAAAATGGGAGTCAAAGTCGGCAAAATCGCCGATTCGTAAATGTCTCTGACACATCAAAATTCTCGAGAGCATAATTTCGTCAATTTTCCACCAAATTTCGTACTTTTCGTTTTATTACCTTCACAAAAAGATTCTCTACGATTTCATAAGAAAAATAACAAATTTTTTTTTTTAAATTCTTGGACACTGGTGCGTGACTCCAGATTTGGGCCTTGGACCCTGAAAGGGTTAAGTGCCTCCTGGTGTTAGACAATGCCCCTGGTCATCCTACAGACGTGGCAGAGTGACTTTGTGGGGACATGAGCTTCATTAAGGTGAAGTTTTTGCCTCCTAATACCACTCCTCTCCTGCAGCCCATGGACCAGCAGGTTATTGCAAACTTCAAAAAACTGTACACAAAAGCTCTGTTTGAAAGGTGCTTTGTAGTGACCTCAGAAACTCAATTGACTCTAAGAGAGTTTTGGAGAGAGCACTTTAATATCCTCAATTGTGTAAACCTTATAGGTAAGGCTTGGGAGGGAGTGACTAAGAGGACCTTGAACTCTGCTTGGAAGAAACTGTGGCCAGAATGTGTAGACCAAAGGGATTTTGAAGGGTTTGAGGCTAACCCTGGGAATCCTATGCCAGTTGAGGAATCCATTGTGGCATTGGGAAAGTCCTTGGGATTGGAGGTTAGTGGGGATGATGTGGAAGAGTTGGTGGAGGAGGACAATGAAGAACTAACCACTGATGAGCTGCTAGATCATCTTCATCAGCATGAGGCCACACCTGAGGAAACTGCTTTGGAGGAGGGGAGAGAGAAATTGAAGAAGTTGCCTACTTCAAAGATTAAGGAAATGTGTGCAATGTGGCTTAAAGTGCAAACCTTTTTTGATGACAATCACCCTAACACAGCTATTGCAAGCCGTGCTGGTGACTATTACACTAACAGTGTTGTGAACCACTTTAGGAAAGTCATAAAGGAACGGGAGGTACAGGCCTCTGTGGACAGATATGTTGTGCGACAGAAGTCCAGTGACTGAAGCTGGTCCTAGTGGCATTAAAAGAAGAAGGGAAGTAACCCCGGAAAAGGACTTGACACCTCAAGTCTTAATGGAAGGGGATTCCCCTTCTAAACACTAAGACACTCTCCTCCTCCCATCCCATCAATCATCACCAGATCTTCAATAAAGGTAAGTGTCATGTAACTGTGCATGTCTTTTTCAGTTTGTGTGTATTAAAATTAATATTTCATGTGGTAAAAAAAAAAAAATCATATTTTGGGGTGTCTTGCACAGATTAATTTGATTTCCATTATTTCTTATGGGGAAAATTCATTCGCATAACGATAATTTCGCGTAAAAATGAGCTCTCAGGAACGGATTAATATCGTTATGCGGGGGTCCACTGTATTGCATCATATTGTAGTTTTCTATAATCTGCCAAACTAGAATTCAACTAACATCGTTTTGCTGACACAGGGTCACCATGGTTCTCTGAACAACTAGATCAGTACTTGCAGTATTTTCCTGGATATGCATATTTTAAGAGAGCAGTTACTCAGTTTAAGAATATTTCAGGCATCAGTGATTCGAGCACGCCATACAACCCTTGGCCATACTACGCGTTTTCTGGTAAGTGAAAGAATTTTGAACATCTGCATAGTTTTTTAAAGTAATTTTTTCATCCTTTCTTATGTTAATGTGTAAATAAGATGAATTCTCATATGTTATTTGGTCATTGTAGAGTTACCTTCCCCTTGAAATTTGGATTTTTTTTTTTTTTTTTTTTTTTTTTTTTTTTTTGTCTACAGTGTATATGGAAACCAAGCAGGTATATGAAGTGTTACTCTTTCTCAATAGGTAGTTTACGTCCATATCCACAAACCACCAAGAAAGAGGTTCCTCCTTCCATAGGCAGACCGGACTATGCGGATGACCCTAATGGATTCCCACATTCAGAGCAAAAAGTACGAGGAGCTGCAAATATTAAGTGCCTTTCAGATGAAGAGAAAGAGGGAATGAGAGTGGCTTGCAAGGTATGTAGATTTATTTTCATTCTTTGATTTTTAGATCATGTGCTCTTCTTAATTTTCTTCACTTGCAGTTTAATTGAATTTTGTAAATTGGTATACAGTGGACCCTCGACCAGCGATGGCATCGATTAACGATAAATCTGACTAGCGATACATTTTATCGCAAAAATTTTGCCTCGATTAGCGCTAAAAAACTCGACCAACACTATTCCTTCCGTCTGAAACGCGTCCACTTCTGGCCAGTGTTTACAAGCCAGCCAGCCACCGTGGTCGCTTCCAAGCATACAATCGGAACATTTCATATTATCACAGCCTTTTTAGTGATTGCACCTGCAAAATAAGTCACCATGGGCCCCAAGAAAGCTTCTAGTGCCAATCCTACAGCAAAAAGGGTGAGAATTACTATGGATATGAAGAAAGGGATCATTGCTAAGTATGAAAGTGGAGTGCATGTCTCCGAGCTGGCCAGGCTGTACACAAAACCCCAATCAACCATCGCTACTATTGTGGCCAAGAAAACGGCAATCAAGGAAGCTGTTCTTGCCAAAGGTGCAACTATGTTTTCGAAACTGAGATCGCAAGTGATAGATGTTGAGAGACGTTATTGGTATGGATAAATGAAAAACAGATAGCAGGAGATAGCATCTCTCAAGCGATCATATGTGAAAAGGCTAGGAAGTTACATGACGATTTAATTAGAAAAATGCCAGCAACTAGTGGTGATGTGAGTGAATTTAAGGCCAGCAAAGGTTGGTTTGAGAGATTTAAGAATCGTAGTGGCATACATAGTGTGGTAAGGCATGGTGAGGCTGCCAGTTTGGACCAAAAAGCAGCTGAAAAATATGTGCAGGAATTCAAGGAGTACATAGACAGTGAAGGACTGAAACCTGAACAAGTGTTTAATGGTGACACTGACAATGTTGTGAAACACGTTAGGAATGTCATAAAGGAACGGGAGGTACAGGCCTCTATGGGCAGATATGTTGTGTGACAGAGGTCCAGTGACTCTCAAGCTGGTCCTAGTGGCATTAAAAGAAGGGAAGTAACCCCGAAAAAGGACTTGCCACCTCAAGTCCTAATGGAAGGGGATTCCCCTTCTAAACACTAAGACCATCAACACTCCCCTCTTCCCATCCCATCAATCATCACCAGATCTTCAATAAAGGTAAGTGTCATGTAACTGTGCATGTCTTCTTCAGTTTGTGTGTATTAAAATTAATATTTCATGTGTTAAAAATTTTTTTTTTCAATACTTTTGGGTGTCTTGCACGGATTAATTTGATTTCCATTATTTCTTATGGGGAAAATTAACTTGACTAACGATTATTTTGACTAACGATGAGCTCTCAGGAACGGATTAATAGCGTTAGTCGAGGGTCCACTGTACATGTATATACAGTGCTACTTTTTTTTTTTTTTTTCCAACAAGTCCGCTGTCTCCCCCCGAGGCAAGGTGACCCAAAAAAGAAAGAAAATCCCCAAAAAGAAAATACTTTCATCATCATTCAACACTTTCACCTCACTCACACAAAATCACTGTTTTTGCAGAGGTGCTCAGAATACAACAGTTTAGAAGCATATACGTATAAAGATACACAACGTATCCCTCCAAACTGCCAATATCCCAAATCCCTCCTTTAAAGTGCAGGCATTGTACTTCCCATTTCCAGGACTCAAGTCCGGCTATATAAAAATAACCGGTTTCCTTGAATCCCTTCACTAAATATTACCCTGCTCACACTCCAACAGCTCGTCAGGTCCCAAATACCATTCGTCTCCATTCACTCCTATCTGACACGCTCATGCACGCTTGCTGGAAGTCCAAGCCCCTCTCCCACAAAACTTCCTGTATTACCATTATGTTTAAAGGTTTTGAATATTGTACAGTCATTCCTTGATATATACACTACATCCCATCATTTTACTTTGCTGTTCAGTTTGGGTGTAAACACTTTTCCCTTGCAAATTTGTCCTTCATTTTGTTAGAAATAGTTTAATTCTTTAGTTCATAAAGCAGCATTTGTGCAGTGTAAAGTACATGAAGGTAGAAACAATATTCTGTTCTTGCAGATTTTAAGAAAAAGCCTTTGAGCTCATTGACTACCAGTCTGTAGATGTTTAAGGTTAAAGATGATCACACAAATAACCCGCACATAGAAGAGAGGAGCTTACAACGATGTTTCGGTCTGACTTGGACCATTTACAAAGTCACACTAACGAGAAGTAGAGCAGGACAGGTATATATAGGCAGGAAGAGGTAGTGGTAGTAGTAGTAGTAGTAGTAGTAGAAAGTGGTAGTAGTAGTGGCAGAGATGGAAGGAAGAAGTAATGGGGAAGTAAGGAGGAGGAGCCAGTCAAATACAAAGAAAGGGGAGCACTGCCAGGGAGCTAGGTGCTCACAGAGAGAGAGAGCAAGAACACAGAAGTGGGGAGAGGGGAAAATAATGAAATAAATAATGAAGGAACAGAAACACAAGACAGAAGAAAGAAAGACAACCCAGAAGAGAAAAAAGGAAAGAGGAAAGGGGAAGAGGGAGAAGAAGAAAAAGGAGGAATCAGGTTAAGTCACGGGTGTTCTGAAGTTTGGAGCATTTTACAATGTAGTGGGAGAGGAAGGCATCTACAGAGTCCTGGCTTCGTCTCTGTGGGGCCCACTACATTGTAAAATGCTCCAAACTTCAGAACACCCATGACTTAACCTGATTCCTCCTTTTTCTTCTTTTTCCTCTTTCCTTTTTTCCTCTTCTGGGTTGTCTTTCTTCTGTCTTGTTTCTGTTCCTTCATTATTTATTTCATTATTTTCCCCTCTCCCCAACTCTGTGTTCTTGCTCTCTCTCTGTGAGCACCTAGCTCCCTGGCAGTGCTCCCCTTTCTTTGTATTTGACTGGTTCCTCCTCCTTACTTCCCCATTACTTCCTTCCATCTCCGCCACTACTACTACTACAGTGGACCCCCGCATAACGATCACCTCCGAATGCGACCAATTATGTAAGTGTATTTATGTAAGTGCGTTTGTACGTGTATGTTTGGGGGTCTGAAATGGACTAATCTACTTCACAATATTCCTTATGGGAACAAATTCGGTCAGTACTGGCACCTGAACATACTTCTGGAGTGAAAAAATATCGTTAACCGGGGGTCCACTGTACTACTACGACCACCATCACTACTTACTACTACTACGACCACCATCACTACTACTACTACTACGACCACCATCACTACTACTACTACTACGACCACCACTACTACTACGACCACCACTACTACGACCACCACCACTACGACCACCACCACCACTACTACTACTATGACCACTACTACTACTACTGTGACTACTACTACTACTACTATGACCACTACTACTACTATGACCACTACTACTACTACTATGACCACTACTACTACGACCACTACTACTACGACCACTACTACTACGACCACTACTACTACGACCACTACTACTACGACCACTACTACTACTACTATGACCACTACTACTACGACCACTACTACTACTACTATGACCACTACTACTACGACCATCACTACTACTACGACCATCACTACTACTACGACCACCACTACTACTATGACCACCACTACTACTATGACCACTACTACTACTACGACCACTACTACTACTACGACCACTACTACTACTACGACCACCACTACTACTACTACTATGACCACTACTACTAGACCACTACTACTACTACGACCACTACTACTACTACGACCACTACTACTACTACGACCACTACTACTACTACGACCACTACTACTACGATCACTACTACTACGACCACTACTACTACTACGACCACTACTACTACAACCACTACTACTACTGCGACCACTACTACTACTACAACTACTACTACTACTACGACCACTACTACTACTACTACTACATGTACTACTACTACTACTACTACTACTACTACTACTACTACTACTACTACTACTACTACTACTACTATTTACTACTACTACCACCACCACCTCTTCCTGCCTATATATACCCGTCCTGCTCTACTTCTTGTTAGTGTGACTTTGTAAATGGTCCAAGTCAGACCGAAACGTCGTCGTAAGCTCCTCTCTTGTACGTGCGGGTTATTTATGTATCGTTCCAGTCACGGTATTGTGCCTTTTTTATGTTATTTAAAGATGATTATGTAGTGATCACATCACCCCTCAAGAGAGTCTCTTTGATACAAGTGAGGGGCTCTTGATCCAATTCCTTGGACTTGCCCTCCCATTACCTGAATCGAACCTGAATGTCTCTTATTTCCCGAGAGGCTGTGTGGCTCCCCGTGGGTTCAGTGCTCCCTCCATAAGTAGAATAATTATAATAGTGATCATGATCTCCACCAGCAAATGTTTGTTTCAGCAGTGTCTTCTTCTGTTCACAGAAATATAAATGGAAATGCAAAATTTTTGTGAAGTAGTAACCATAAAGTCATCAAAAAATCACAAAAGTTTTGGATATTTTTTCTTGCAGTTAGCTCGAGAAGTTTTGGATGAAGGAGTGAAAGTAGCAGATATTGGTGTGGCTACAGATGAGATTGATCGTGTTGTACATGAAGCTGCTATTGAACGAGAGTGCTACCCTTCACCCTTGAACTACCATGGTTTTCCCAAGTCCTGCTGCACTTCAGTCAATGAAGTTATATGTCATGGCATCCCAGATATGAGGCCGCTACAAAATGGGGATATATGTAATAGTAAGTATCTTACTGTCCTGCAGTATTGCTTACATCATGTTTAAATTTTAACAGTGCTTGCTGAATTGTTTTCAAATTGGTATGGTTCTCTCTTCTTACTATAGAGCTTTGTAATTAGACGGGTTTCTCTGTCATAATGTAGCAAATTTTTCTAGCCATTAAATGCATTGTTATAATGCTGCTTAAGTTATGAGTTTTTAACTGTAATGTTATAAAAATAATAATGAAGAAGGTACAACTTTAGTTATATTTATCATAGTAGATTATATTCATAATGTTTAGTTAAGTATATACGTGGTGTGGTTAATATGACAAAAATACACTTATAGGGGGTGGCTTGTGGAACAATGTTTGTATAGTATATTGTAGTTATTCCTCCACCTCTGACCTTGGTACCCCTCCAGAGATAAATATGAAAGCACTGCACAGAACAGGTCTTCAAATACATCTTATTCAGCCCATCCCTGTATACTGTTTTAGGATTAAAGTACAGCTATTTGTTTTTAAATTAGTAATTTCATCCATTCAAATTGGTTTCAGACAAGAATGAGGTCAGTTTGATAGTGTTGCTTCTTTCTGGTGTGTAGTGAGGTGGTTATCAACCAGCAACGTCTTAAATAAGTTACTTGAGTGATTGAAATGATAGGAAAATAGAGGTCATGTTTACAACTGGAAGATGACAAATGGCTGACAGACCTGATGTATTTTTAGGGTAAAGGTGGTTTGATAGATTGTCTTCCCTAGCATTTGGGTTTACTATATGTAAAGAAGATTGAGCTGGAAGTATACTATGATTCATAGCAGGTAGGAAAGTCATGGAGCTTCTTAGGAAATTTACTGAAGTACAGTCAATGTTTCAGTGATGGTAGTAATTGAGTTTTCACCAAAATGTTGAATGTACTTCAGTAAATGTCCAAAGAAGATTCAGTTTTCTTACCTGCTATTAAGTTTACCATGTGTTGCACAACTATCCCACCAATTAGAGATGATTCTAAAGTAATTTTCTATCCCTGCTGAACCATTATAGAGTCACTTGCAAATTGATAATAGTCCAGGAATGACCAGACAATATTCATATCATCTAGTTTCTTCTTCAGTTTTTGGGTTAGTTGTGAATTGTTCTAGCCACTGTATTGCAACTTGTGGTCTGTACTATATATATATTATGCTTTATCAAAAAAAAGTGGCATTAATAATAATTTCTGTTTAAAACATTTTCCTTCACAGTTGATGTTACAGTATACCATCGCAATTTCCATGGTGACTTGAATGAAACTTTATTTATTGGTGAGGTCAGTAGTATAGCAAAAAACCTTGTCAAGACCACCTGGGAATGCCTTCAGAAGTCTATTGAAATTGGTAACTATACACTTTTTTTTTTTACAAGATTTTATATTAGTGATATTTGAATGAATGAGTAGCCATTCTTACATATTTTCCCATCTCCAGGACTCAAGTCTTGGAGGTGGGAAGTACAGTGCCTACACTCTGAAGGAGGGATGGAGATATGCCAATACTACAGTTTTTGAACTGTACTAGTGGCACGCCTCTGGCAAGACAGTGATGGAGTGAGGATGATGAAAGTGTTTCTTCTTTTTCGGGTGACCCCTGCCTAGGTGGGAAATGGCCAATGTTACGATATGGAGTGTATAACACTGGGCTACTGATCCTTGATGGGGATCAGTTGCTAGGTTGGCTATTGTCTAGGGTGAACTCCATAGCAACAAGGTTTTAGTGCAGCCAATATAGCCTTTTTAAGCAAACTTTCTTTGTTAACTTTCTTTCTATAGGATGGCCAAAACGCAAATAAAATCTGTCTTTAATAACAATAAAACTTGCGTAGTATCTTCACATATTTATGAAAAATAGAGCAACAAAATTACTTATCTTTTTCCTTTATACATAAAAGATACTATTATACATGTACAGCTATTGTTACGACAAAAGTTTACTGGCAAAACAATTCCCAGTACTAGAGTTAGGCAATCAATCTGTTGCAGGAAGTAATTATCCAGACAAGGATTTATCGGTAATCCTGTGCAAGGGATATGTATATGACCAGAGAACTCTTAGTAATCAGATTGGGCTAGAAGTGAGAGTGCTAGTCAGTGCGAGTGTTGTAGAACCACTCGGAGCAAGTGCTGTGAACCTACTGACGGTACCACCGAGTGGTAAGCCAACGTCAGGGTGGTCACGTGACTGAGGGAGACGTCAGTACCTAAACTAGTAACTGGCGCTCCAACTAGTAGTTTCCCACTACATGAAAACACTTAATATAGACTAACAAAACATAATATAATACAATATTAGCATTAACATATACAGTGGACCCCCGATTAATGATATTTTTTCATTCCAGAAGTATGTTCAGGTGCTAGTACTGACCGAATTTGTTCCCATAAGGAATATTGTGAAGTAGATTAGTCCATTTCAGACCCCCAAACATACACGTACAAACGCACTTATATAAATACGCTTACATAATTGGTCACATTAGGAGGTGATCGTTAAGCGGGGGTCCACTGTATCTTCTTTCTTTCTTTCAACACACCGGCCATATCCCACTGAGGCGGGGTGGCCCAAAAGGAAAAACGAAAGCTTCTCCTTTTACATTTAGTAATATATACAGGAGAAGGGGTTACTAGCCCCTTGCTTCCGGCATTTTAGTTGCCTCTTACAACATGCATGGCTTACGGAGGAAGAATTCTGTTCCACTTCCCCATGGAGATTAACATATATATTATAATAAAAAGGAGCACATCCTATTATGAAATATAACAGGTATGGCCATACCCATAACACCAATGTTTTAAAAAAAAAAAAGTGTAGGCAATTGCTAGGATAAGTGTGCACCTTTTGGGAAGGATATAGGTTGTAAAGCTACAGCACTTATGTTAGTAGTAGTAATAATAGTATTAGTAATATAGTAATAGTAACTAGTAGTGTTTAGTAGCAAGACTTGAGGTCTGGAGGCGAGAAGTTCAGGACCTCTACTCATTATCCTTGGTGGAGATGATGTGATTCTGAGGGTTGTTTGAATTGTAATATCTGTGGTGCACTCTGGCAGGACAGCTGCTGAATGAGTGATGGTAAATGACTTTCCTTCTTGGTGTTACCATATTTTAGTGAAACATAACCATTATATTAAAAATATGAATTATTATTATATTTTTTTAACAAACCAGCCATATCTCACTAAGGCAGGGTGACCCAAAAAAAAAAAATGAAAGTTTTTCTTTTTACATTTAGTAATTTTGTAGGTAGTAGGTTGGTAGACAGCAACCGCCCAGGGAGGTACTACCGTCCTGCCAAGTGAGTGTAAAACGAAAGCCTGTAATTGTTTTACATGATGGTAGGATTGCTGGTGTCCTTTTTTCTGTCTCATGAACATGCAAGTTTTCAGGTACGTCTTGCTACTTCTACTTACACTTAGGTCCCACTACACATACATGTACAAGCACATATATACACACCCCTCTGGGTTTTCTTCTATTTTCTTTCTAGTTCTTATTCTTGTTTATTTCCTCTTATCTCCATGGGGAAGTGGAACAGAATTCTTCCTCCGTAAGCCATGCGTGTTGTAAGAGGCGACTAAAATGCCGGGAGCAAGGGGCTAGTAACCTCTTCTCCTGTATATATTACTAAATGTAAAAGGAGAAACTTTCGTTTTTCCTTTTGGGCCACCCCGCCTCGGTGGGATACGGCCGGTGTGTTGAAAGAAAGAAAGAAAGATTTAGTAATTTATATACGAGAAAGGAGTTACTAGCCCCTTGCTCCCAGTAGTTTAGTCACCTCTTATGACATGTGGCTTACAAAGGAAGGATTCTTCTCCACTTTCCCATGGAGTAGTAGTATTATTATTGTTGTTGTTGTACTAATTATGCAGCAAGAACATATTTTTCGGTTTGCAGTTAAGCCTGGTGTCAAGTACCGGGAAGTGGGATCATTAATCCAGAAGCATGCTCACTCCCAGGGTTTCTCTGTAGTGCGTTCCTACTGTGGCCATGGTATTCATCAATTGTTTCATACTGCACCATCTGTTCCACACTATGCTAGTAAGTTATAATGAGATATTATAAGTTCTTTTCTTTTTCCAACTGTGGAGCTGTGTGACCACTTAGGGTTGAGCATTTTGTTTTTTTAATGTATGTACTGTAATAATACCTGCTAAGTAATAATACAAATTTCATGTATGAAATTGCTTATTTTACTTATTGTATTAATTTTTTGGATGCTGAACCAGGGGTTGATGGCCGACATGTTGAAAAAAAAAATTGTAGTGGATATATTGTATGTAATTGTATTTTTGTAGCTTCGGAGAAATGCTGTTCATTTTTGGCTCAGTGATTAGATAAGTACCTAAAGTGACAGGGACCAAGATAAAACTGTCTTCTGTTCAATGTTTTGCATTAATCGAGGTAAATAATTCAAGTACAGTACTTTAATTCTTAACTCAGCAAAAGAATGCTTAACAGTTTGAATGAACATTTATCTTCAACTGGCAGAGGATTCAAACCTATCTGTCTCACTCTCCACGTGAACAGAGAGTCCAGTACACGGTGCTTAATCTGCTTGTTGTGGATTGTTAAGCATTTAGGTATCTCTTATGAACATTATATAAGGAGGGCAAAATGAAATAGCTTACATGGTTCTGGCTGAATAGCTTAATCATTATGTAAGTGACTCTGCTCACATGGAGAGTGAGAGACACAGGTTCAAATACTTTGTTGGTCATTCCTGGAAGGGTTGGAACAAGGTGCTAGGTGTTTGAACATCCATTAGGCTTATGCATGCAGGCATGTTAGGTTAGAATGAAGGCAAGTTAGCCAGACTAAAGTCTTGGAAGTAAGAAGTACAGTGTCTTTACTTTGAAAGAGGGGTATGGATACTTGCAATTCAGAGGAGCATCTGAACTGTAGTGTCTGCACACCTCTTGGCAAGAGTGTGATGAGTGAATGGAAGACAGCCAGTGTTAAAAAAAATATATTTTTTATATATGTATCTGAGCACCTCTGCAAAGACAGGGATTACATATGAGTGAGGTGAAAGTGTTGAATGATGAAAGTATTTTCTTTTTGGGGATTTTCTTTCTTTTTGGGTCACCCTGCCTCGGTGGGAGATGGTCAACTTTTTGAAAAAAAGTGTATACGTATATACATGTATATACAGTGGGCCCTCAAGTTTCGTAAGTCTCACTCTTCGTAAATTTCGCCTTTCGTAACGTTTTTTGTCAAAATATAGCCTCGCGGTTAGTCATTTGCCTCGTGATTCATCGGTCATACGGAATGTATCTGAGAGTGGGCTCCACCATCCGCAACTGCTAAATAAGCCACCATGAGCCTAAAGAAAGCTTCTAGTGCCAGCCCTATGGTAAAGAAGGTGAGAAACGTGTTACAATTCAAGAAAGAACTCGTAGCAAAGTACCAAAGTGGAAGAGGAGAAGGGAGGGGAGAATGTGCCTTCTTCAGCAATTCGGTGATTCTAAAATGTGTACGATACAAAAGCAGCAGGAGCCAATAAAGGCTATATCGCCAGCCAGCGATAAAGTGTAGCAGTAACAGTTTAACAAGTAAGTTAAGCGATTAAGCGATAGAAAAATGACATGAAACTTAACTTCTCCATTGTTGTTTGAGGTATATAGGGCACTGACAACATATGCTGCCCTCTGCCAGCATCTCCTCCAAGGTAAGTGTAAATATTTCTTATTTACAAAGTGTAAATATTTCTCATTTATAAATTAAAGTGTAAATATTTCTTATTTATAAATTACGTACATTGTTTGTGTGAATAGTGGTAGTGGTCTCTACTGCCGCCACCCTACCACTAATGTATGTACGGCTTATGCTCTCAGTGGCCCTTATAAATCCAACAACAACACACCACCATCACTTGTGACATATGTAATGACATTTTTATTCATTCTAGAGTATATATCACGTTTCTATGTTAATAATATTGTTTATTTTGTCGTATTAGATGAATTGTGATAGATAAATAAGCCATAGAGTTGATATTAGCTCGTCATATTTAAGCATTTTGTCCTGTCTACACTCTCCCTCTCCCAACAAGAGTCTTCAATAAAGGTATGTAATAGTGATTTAACCCTTTGAATGTTTTGGTCATAGATATACGTCTTATGAGCCAGTGTTTCGGACCTATTAATACACATAAATTCTAGCGGCTTCAAATCAAGCAGGAGAAAGCTGGTAGGCCCACATGTCAGAGAATGGGTCTGTGTGGTCAGTGTGCACCACATAAAAAAAATCCTGCAGCACGCATTGCATAATGAGAAAAAAAAAACTAGACCGTTTTTTTGGATTAAAACTCCGAATTTGAGGTGTATTTTCATATAGTATTCATCGTTGTATTCTCGTTTTCATGGTCTCATGTGATAAAATGGAAAACATATTATAGAAATAGAGATGATTTTGATTAGTTTCATGATGAAAACGACCTTGAAATTGAGCTCAAAGTAGCAGAAATGTTCGATATTTACCAATGTTCAGGAGTGAGAAAATCATCCCACACGTCCAATACACGTCAACTGGGGGTCTAATATTCTTTCACTAGTGCAGTGATATTATTTATACCAGTTTTACAATAATGCAGTAGTCTGCATAAGTTTTTTTTTTTTTTTTTTTTTTTTAAATAAGTCAGCCGTCTCCCACCGAGGCAGGGTGACCCAAAAAAAAAAGAAAGAAAATCCCCAAAAAGAAAATACTTTCATCATCATTCAACACTTTCACCTCACTCACACATAATCACTGTTTTTGCAGAGGTGCTCAGAACACAACAGCTTAGAAGCATATACCTATAAAGATACACAACATATCCCTCCAAACTGCTAATATCCCGAACCCCTCCTTTAGAGTGCAGGTATTGTACTTCCCATTTCCAGGACTCAAGTCCGGCTATATAAAACTAGCCGGTTTCCCTGAATCCCTTCACTAAATATTACCCTGCTCTCCAACAGATTGTCAGGTCCCAAATACCATTCGTCTCCATTCACTCCTATCTAACACGCTCACGCACGCTTGCTGGAAGTCCAAGCCCCTCGCCCACAAAACCTCCTTTACCCCCTCCCTCCAACCTTTTTGAGGACGACCCCTACCTCGCCTTCCTTCCCCTCAGATTTAAATGCTCTCCATGTCATTCTACTTTGATCCATTCTCTCTAAATGACCAAACCACCTCAACAACCCCTCTTCAGCCCTCTGACTAATACTTTTATTAACTCCACACCTTCTCCTAATTTCCACACTCCGAATTTTCTGCATATTTACACCACACATTGCCCTTAGACAGGACATCTCCACTGCCTCCAACCGCCTCCTTGCTCCTGCATTCACAACCCAAGCTTCACACCCATATAAGAGTGTTAGTACTACTATACTTTTATACATTCCCTTTGCCTCCATAGATAACGTTTTTTGTCTCCACATATACCTCAACGCACCACTCACCTTTTTCCCCTCATCAATTCTATGATTAACCTCATCCTTCATAAATCCATCTGCCGACACGTCAACTCCCAAATATCTGAAAACATTCACTTCTTCCATACTCCTCCTCCCCAATTTGATATCCAGTTTTTCTTTATCTAAATCATTTGATACCCTCATCACCTTACTCTTTTCTATGTTCACTTTCAACTTTCTACCTTTAGACACACTCCCAAACTCATCCACTAACCTTTGCAATTTTTCTTTAGAATCTCCCATGAGCACAGTATCATCAGCAAAAAGCAACTGTGTCAATTCCCATTTTGTATTTGATTCCCCATAATTTAATCCCACCCCTCTCCCGAACGCCCTAGCATTTTCTTCTTTTACAACCCCATCTATAAATATATTAAACAACCATGGCGACATTACACATCCCTGTCTAAGACCTACTTTTACCGGGAAGTAGTCTCCTTCTCTTCTACACACCCTAACCTGAGCCTCACTATCCTCATAAAAACTCTTTACAGCATTTAGTAACTTACCACCTATTCCATATACTTGCAACATCTGCCACATTGCTCCCCTATCCACTCTATCATATGCCTTTTCTAAATCCATAAATGCAATAAAAACTTCCCTACCTTTATCTAAATACTGTTCGCATACATGTATATGCCTCAATGTAAACACTTGATCTACACATCCCCTAACCACTCTGAAACCTCCTTTCTCATCCGCAATCCTGCATATCTCTTTTGTCCCCCTTCCCTTTATATAAAGGGACTATGCATGCTCTGCCAATCCCTAGGTACCTTCCCCTCTTTCATACATTTATTAAACAAAAATACCAACCACTCCAACACTATATCCCCCCATGCTTTTAACATTTCTGTCATGATCCCATCAGTTCCAGCTGCTTTATCCCCTTTCATTCTATGTAATGCCTCGTGCACCTCCCCCACACTCACATCCTGTTCTTCTTCACTCCTAAAAGATGGTATACCTCCCTGGCCAGTGCATGAAATTACCACTTCCCTTTCTTCGTCGACATTTAAAAGTTCCTCAAAATATTCTCGCCATCTACCCAAAACCTCCATCTCCATATCTACTAACTCCCCTACTCTGTTTTTAACTGACAAATCCATTTGTTCTCTAGGCTTTCTTAACTTGTTTAACTCCAAATTTTTTTCTTATTTTCATTAAAATTTCTTGACAGTGCCTCTCCCACTCTATCATCTGCTCTCCTTTTGCACTCTTTCACCACTCTCTTCACCTTTCTTTTACTCTCCATATACATGTACTCTACTCTTCTTATAACACTTCTGCTTTGTAAAAACCTCTCATAAGCTAACTTTTTCTCTTTTATTACACCCTTTACTTCATCATTCCACCAATCTCTCCTCATTCCTCCTGCACCCACTCTCCTATAACCACAGACTTCTGCCCCACATTCTAATACTGCATTTTTAAAACTATTCCAACCCTCTTCAACCCCCCCACTGCTCATACTTGCACCAGCCCACCTTTCTGCCAATAGTTGCTTATATCTCGCCCGAACTTCCTCCTCCCTTAGTTTATACACTTTCGCCTCCCTCTTGCATGTTGTTGCCATTTTCCTCTTTTCCCATCTACCTCTTACTCTAACTGTAGCTACAACTAAATAATGATCCGATATATCAGTTGCCCCTCTATAAACATGTACATCCTGGAGCCTACCCATCAACCAATACATCAATACATCCACCAATACATAATCAAACAAACTAGTTTCGTTACGTGCTATATCATACCTTGTATATTTATTTATCCTCCTCTTCATAAAATATGTATTACTTATTACCAAACCTCTTTCTGCACATAGCTCAATTAAAGGCTCCCCATTTTCATTTACCTCTGGCTCCCCAAATTTACCTACTACTCCCTCCACAACATTTTTTCCCACTTTAGCATTGAAATCCCCAACCACCATAACTCTCACACTTGGTTCAAAACTCCCCACGCATTCACTCAACATTTCCCAAAATCTCTCTCTCTCTCCTCTACACTTTTCTCTTCTCCAGGTGCATATACGCTTACTATAACCCACTTTTCACATCCAACCTTTATTTTACTCCACATAATCCTTGAAGTAATACATTTGTAGTCCCTCTTTTCCTGTCATAACTTATCCTTCAACATTATTGCTACTCCTTCTTTAAATCTGTTTGAAACCCCTGGCTTAATCCCATTTATTCCTTTCCACTGAAACTCTCCCACCCCCTTCAGCTTTGTTTCACTTAAAGCCAGGACATCCAGCTTCTTATTCATAACATCCACAATCATCTCTTTCTTATCATTTGCACAACATCCACACACATTCAGACTTCCCACTTTGACAATTTTCTTCTTATTCTTTTTAGTAATTATTACAGGAAAAGGGGTTACTATCCCATTGTTCTCGGCATTTTAGTTGACTTTTACAACACGCATGGCTTATGGAGGAAAGATTCTTATTCCATTTCCCCATGGATATAAAAGGAAAAGTAATTAGACCAAGAACTATTAAGATAAAATCAAAGAAAACTCAGATGAGTGTGTATAAATAAACATGTACATGTATGTGTAGTGTGACCTAAGTGTAAGTAGAAGTAGCAAGACGTCCCTGTAATCTTGCATATTTGAGACAGACAAAAGACACCAGCAATCCTACCATCATGTAAAACAATTACACACACCACACACGCACCACACATGCACACACATGCACACATACAAGCACTAATATACAACAGGCCTAGTGTCTAATCGACATGTGCCTAGGACAAAATGGTAACTAACACAACACACACACAGTGTACGTATGTATCTATATTTTGTAACACCAAACATGTCTCACCGAGGTAGCATGGCCTGGAAAAGAAGAAATGCTTTCATCATCACTCATGTTAATTGCTGTCATGCCAGAGGTGCGCTGATACTATAGTTCAGATGCCTGTCCAGATTGCAAATATCTCCATCCCTCCTTCTGTGTGTAGGCACTGATTTATTTATTATTACTATTATTATATTACTATTTTTTCAGAAAACAAGGCAGTTGGTGTTATGAAGCCCGGACATACATTCACAATTGAACCAATGATCTCGGAAGGTAAGCAATTTATTTTTTTTTTTTTTCCAAATTTTCACACATGAATGTAGCTATGATGGAGGAAATCAGAGGATGAGTTGGGCTCCAACCCATTAGCAGGTGAGTCTTAAAACTTGCAGGCCAGTGTGTTAACCCCTTGACTAGCTGGCTGTAATAGGATTCATTCAACTAGGTATGTTGCTGTACTCTATAGGGACATTACATGGGCTGCACTGTGGTCACAAATGCATGTTGTCATAAATGAATCCCACACCTGCATTTGTGGTCACAGTGGGAGCCCATGCTAGCCTCCCTATGGTGTATAGAAATGTGCCTGCTTGTATGAATCCTATTAGAGTAGTTAACCTACTATTCAGAGAACACAAAAAATGCAAATGTCTCTTGCTTACAGTACTGTTTGGTGTTGGTGACTCCATTCAAGGAAGGAGATAGATCAGAGCTGGAACAGTAGCAGTAATTGTTCACTGCCCACACAGCCAATTAAACATTTAACCCTTTGACAGTTTTGGTCGTATATATACATCTTACGAGCCAGTGTGTTTGACGTGTATGTATTCAAAAATTCTAGCGGCTTCAAATCAAGCAGGAGAAAGCTGGTAGGCCCACATGTGAGAGAATGGGTCTGTGTGGTCAGTGTGCACAGTATAAAAAAATTCTGCAGCATGCAGTGCATAATGAAAAAAAAAAACTCCTACCATGTTTTTGGATTAAAACGCCGACTTTGAGGTGTATTTTCGTATAGTATTTATGGTTGTATTCTTGTTTTCTTGGTCTCATTTAATAGAATGGAAAACATATTATAGAAATAGAAGTGATTTTGATTGGTTTTACCATGAAAAGGGTCTTGAAATGGAGCTCAAAGTGGCAGAAATGTTTGGTTTTTGCCGATGTTCAAGAGTAAACAAATGATGTCATTGTCCAATAAATGTCCAGCTAGCCACTCTAATACGCAGTCATGAATGGGTTAGCGTTATTTATACAATTATTACAATATTGCAGTGGTCTGCATAACAATAAATCTTTTATTTTTTTTTAAAAATGTGAAAAAAATTCAAAATAGAAAGCAAGAGTATTATAATTTTATAACAGGGGCCTGAAGACGTGACTAATGAACAGAGTAAATGTTATTTTAGTGCCAGGAATGTCTGCATTGTTCATTCTGGACCCTATTTTGAAATTGACATATTTTTTAATTTGCATGAAATTGGCCAAATTGCCAAATTCTGACTAACTTTATTGGGTAGTTTAAGTCGGTAAATGGGCGGTTTCTTGTACTCAGTCGATAGAACAAATGGAGTTCTAAAGAAATAGCTATGAGTTTGGTGGATTTGAACAACGGAATTGGCTGAAAATAGGGCTCAAAATCGGCGAAATCACCAATGCGTAATTGTCCCTGAGGCTTGTGTGTGTTGTTACCAGTTGTCATAGGCGCTTGTGTGTGTCTGTGTGTGCGTGTTGTATAGCCTGATTGAGACACAATGTATATAATGTCTATAATGTATATTTAATTGTATATTACCTTTTCATATAGTTTTATATTGCCAGTATTGTCATTAATAGCTAAAATGAAAATATCTTGCTTTATCTAATTATTTGAGGGGTGTTAATGTTGCAGTTTTATAACTGTAGTGTAAAGTACCCCTCTGGCAAGACAGTGATGGAGTAAACGATGATGAAAGTTTTTCTTTTTCGGGCCATCCTGCCTTGGTGGAAATCGGCCGATGTGTTAATAAAAACAGTGGTACCTCGAGTTATGAACTTAATTCGTTCCAGGAGGCTCTTCGAGTGCTGATACCAAACGAATTTGTTCCCATAAGGAATAATGTAAATTAGATTAGTCCATTTCAGACCCCCAAAAGTACACTTACTAAAGCACTTACAAAAACACACTTACATAATTGGGAGCTGTTCGAAACTCGAGGTACCACTGTATATTAGCTATGTATGTAGGTAGGATGTTACATATAACCTTCTCTGTGCTTGCTGTTGGAGAGTTGTGACTGACTGTCCGCACTTGCAAACTGCTTATCTACCTGCTTGTTTACCTGCCGACATCACTGGAGTAGCACTGGCTAATCACGTGATCGCACCTGAGGTTGGGGACTGCTCTCCCTACCTCATTGAGTGTGTCTAGATCTGTTTCTTGCCTGAGAAGCACACCTCACCAGATCTCACTTCTCTGGCTGTTTGTTTGTGATTAAGACTCTGTTTTTGGTTGAGTATGATTTTGTTGGTGAGTCGAAACATACTTCTAGTAACTCTAACTCTGTTCACAGAGCATTGTTCAGACTTAGTGATTTTTTGACGTTTTGCCGAGATTGTGTGTCGCGGAAACACTCAATTCATCCCTGGTCCAAAGCTAAAGCTTCTGACTTACTTTGTTGTGGCATCTATGCACTGTCGTAGTCGGGAATTTAGTTATGCTGAACTAAGATTCAGTTTTAAGGGAGTTTTATGCCTTTTATGGAGGATCTGCTGATGGTCCCTAGTTAGGGTTGTTATTTTGTCTCCATGTTCCTGAAGCTGTATTGCTGATTTGTACATTATTGTTGTTTGACGAATGGTTTGTCATATTGTTCAAGCAAGCTGTTTAGAGTGCCTTGTTGGTCAAGAAGATAGAGTATGTATTTGAGGACATTTAGACAGTCATTGTTGAAGTCTTAAGTCGAGTCTAGTCTTATTGAGACATAACGAGCACTGTTGAGTACATACACACACACTTGTACATTGTTATATTTATCATCTGAGTAGAACTCATCATAGCTACATACCAGATGGTACTCGAGTTGTACTGGTACGAAATGTGCACTCAGCACTTTAGTACTATTTGTACAATTTAATATTGCAATTAATGTTTACAGAAGTAATATCCATGAGAAGTGTAGGAGCTTGTATCCTGAACTATATTAAATTTCTTTACTTTAATGATGTCCACCTAGACACGTTTTATATTAAAGATCTCAAATTTATTTTGTTGGTTTATCATCATTCACCTGTGATCCCAAAACACTATTATATTTCTATCAATTCAAAGGGTTACTGGACTTGATCTTATTCTGACAGCCTGTTTTAAAACCGGTAACAGGCTGTGTGTGTGTGTGCGCGTATATAAATAAATACATGTTGATAAATTAGACACATGTGCAACTCTTGGGTATCTTTATTGAGGAAACGTTTCGCCACACAGTGGCTTCATCAGTCCATACGTAGGAGAAACTTGAAGAACAGGAGGAGAATGAGGTAATCAGTCCCTCAACCTTGAGTCGATGTGTTCAGTCCATCAATCTTGAATAGAATACGGCATATCAGCGGAAAAGCAGCTTATAAACCGTATGGCAGGAGAGGTGCAGCAGACATAGGACGTGTCACATTTGTTCAATGTGGAAGTAGGTCGTGCCAAAGAATTAGGCAAGCGTCTGACAAGCGTCTGACAGAAGTTGCAGTGTCTGACAGACACTGCAACTTCTTGGGATCTTAATACTTAGGAATTCTTCGCTTGCCTAATTCTTTGGCACGACCTACTTCCACATTGAACAAATGTGACACGTCCTATGTCTGCTGCACCTCTCCTGCCATACGGTTTATAAGCTGCTTCTCCGCTGATATGCCGTATTCTATTCAAGATTGATGGACTGAACACATCGACTCAAGGTTGAGGGACTGATTACCTCATTCTCCTCCTGTTCTTCAAGTTTCTTCTACGTATGGACTGATGAAGCCACTGTGTGGCGAAACGTTTCCTCAATAAAGATACCCAAGAGTTGCACATGTGTCTAATTTATCAACCTGTCGGTTCTCTGAACCATTCATCTACAAATAAATACATACATAAAAAATTTTTTATTAACACATTGGCTGTTTCCCACCAAGGCAGAGTGACCCCCCCCCCCCCCCCAAAAAAAAAAAAAAAAAAAAAAATTCATCATCATTCACTCCATCACTGTCTTGCCATAGGTATGCCTACACTACAGTTGTAAAACTGCAACATTAACACCCCTCCTTCAGAGTGCAGACCCTGTACTTCCCATACATATATTTTTTAACACATTTTCCCACTGAGGCAGGGTGACCCAGAAAGAAAGAAAAAAAGTTTCAACATCATTCAACACTTTCACCACCACTCATACATAATCCCTGTCTTTGCAGTAGCGCTCAGATATGACAGTTTAGATGTCCCTCCAGACTGCCAATTTTAACTTTAAATATACTGTCTTGCTCAGTCTGCCTTTTACTGTAACTTTTTTATGATTCTCTATGCATAAAATTGCCTGTTGTATTATTTGTAATGCTTTTGTAATTTGTTGGATGGTACAGTGTGATATACAGTACAGTGGTACCTTAAATTTTGAACAGCTCCCATCTTGAACAGTTATGTAGGTGTATTTTTGTAAGTGCTTTTGTAAGTGTATTTTTGGGGGTCTGAAACAGACTAATCTAATTTACATTGTTCCTTATGGGAACAAATTCGTTTGGTAACAGCGTTTGAACAGCCTTCTAGAACAAATTTCGGCCAAAATTTGAGGTACCACTGTACTTGCATGTATGGTGTGTGCATTAAATAGTAAAATATTTAATTATTGGTTATGCTAGGTACATGGAAAGACGAGCAATGGCCAGATAACTGGACTGCTGTAACCGCAGATGGAAAACTGTCTGCCCAGTTTGAAGAAACACTGTTGGTGACCGACACTGGAGTTGAAGTTCTCACTCAACGCAGAGACAGAAATGGTCAACCTTATTTCATGGATTAAGTTAAGGAGAACTTTAGGTAAATTGTCCAGTATATATCCTAGGAAATACCTTGTTGGATTGATTGGTGTTTGTATATGTTCATTGTATATGAGGAATCCAAAAGTGTACATATTTATAACTTTATATTTCATATTTTTCATGACATTTAAGCTTGTATAAGTGCACAGTAGATTAGGACATGATTTGTATTTGCTGAATTGCTGTTACTGAGATCACTCATATGAAATATATACTGTATACCTAACATATTCATGAAGATATATTTTGCCTTCATTGAATGACTATCTAAGTTATATCTCAGTCACATTTAAGTACAGTGCTATCTCCTTTTCCTTCATTTTTAAAGGGCCTATTTCTGTTTTAAATATAGTAATTACTCACCTTTCATGTACCCACCTACTATGTTTTCGTCACTTTGCCTTTCACGTTTTGTGCCCTTTCTTCAGTTTTTTAATAATCAGGGGAAAAGGACTAAATCCACAGGGGTCACATAGTGCCTGTGGAATGGGAGGCTTTCAGGTTTGATTCAAGGAAGGGGAGGGTAAATCCAGTTCTTTGGATCAAGAGCCCCTCATAGACATTAAGGCACACCTCCCTTGAGAGGTGTCTATCTTCAGCTTTCACTGTAAATCTATTCTGCTTTCAGTCATTGAATTAAAAAATTATTTTTCTGTTTTTCAACCAAATACTGTGTATGCTCATTTATGCATGTATCAAGCGCTCATGTATGTTTGGTAGAGATTAGTCAAGACCCATAGATTTAATAGAGTATTTACATTGTTTATTAAAGTTGAATTGTTAGCATTATATTTTTCTCTTAGTTTTAAACCGAATGCAATCATATTTTGTGTATGGTGACTATGTATAGAGAGTTCACACTTATTTGATAGAGACTGATCAGGAACCACATACTTAGTAGCTGAAAATCAAAAGTGACCAGGAGAACATGTTGAGTGTACAGTTTCTGGTGAAACTCAGCTGGCTGTCAGCAGCCTGCCACACTTGCTTGGTCCCACACTATCTCACACCCATGCATATATACACACACTTTTGTTCACTCTCTTTTCATCATCGTGTCATGTCTCCATATACAGTATTAGCCATAGAACTAAAACGGAATACTTGTAATACTGGAGGTGCTAAAAAAAAAAAAGGAATGAGTGTGAAAATCTCGGAGTAGGAATGTCCTGTCCATTTTTTCTGGAAGGTATACAGTACAAGGTAATTTCATCAAACACAAGTAAAGCTTGGGGGAAGCTCGAGTAAGTTTATTAAGTTTTTTATATACGTTTTGGGTGCATACAATTTTTTTACATACAATAGTCTTTACAGCACATATGTATATGTTTTTTTTTTTTTTTTTTTTTATTCAACAAGTCGGCCGTCTCCCACCGAAGCAGGGTGACCCAAAAAGAAAGAAAATACTTTCATCATCATTTAACCCTTTCACCTCAGTCATACATAATCACTGTCCTTGCAGAGGCACCTAGAGACAACAGTTTAGAAGCATATATAAAGATATACAGTGGACCCTCAGTTTTCGTGTTTAATCCGTTCCAGAACGATCAGCAAAAATGGAAATCGACGAAAACGAAACCATTTTCCCCATAAGAAATAATGTAAATCCAATTAATCCGTTCCAGACACCCAGAAGTCTTTCTTTCAACACACCGGCCGTATCCCACCGAGGCGGGGTGGCCCAAGAGGAAAAACAAAAGTTTCTCCTTTCACATTTAGTAATATATACAGGAGAAGGGGTTACTAGCCTCTTGCTAATGGCATTTTAGTTGCCTCTTACAACACGCATAGCTCACGGAGGAAGAATTCTGTTCCACTTCCCCATGGAGATAAGAGGAAATGAACAAGAACAAGAACTAGTAAGAAAATAGAATAAAACCCAGAGTGGTGTGTATATATATGCTAGTACATGTATGTTATTTTCTTATAGTTGGACTTGAGTCCTGGAAATGGGATGTACAATGCCTGCACTTTAAAGGAGGGGTTTGGGATATTGGCAGTTTGGAGGGATATGTTGTGTATCTTTATATGTATATGCTTCTAAACTGTTGTATTCTGAGCACCTCTGCAAAAACAGTGATAATGTGTGAGTGTGGTGAAGTGTTGAATGATGATGAAAGTATTTTCTTTTTGGGGATTTTCTTTCATTTTTGGGTCACCCTGCCTCGGTGGGAGACAGCCGACTTGTTGAAAAAAAAAAAAACATGTATGTGTAGTGTGACCTAAGTGTAAGTAGAAGTAGCAAGACGTACCTGAAACCTTGCATGTTTATGAGACAGAAAAAACAACAGCAATCCTACCATCATGCAAAACAATTACAGGCTTTCATTTTATATTCACTTGGCAGGACGGTAGTACCTCCCTGGGCAGCTGCTGTCTACCAACCTACTACCTAGACACCCAGAAGTATTAGCAAAAAAAAAAAATTTTTTTTTTACCTTAAAGATAGATTTACATGCACATAAGAATGAACATTCAACATGACACTTAACTTTATTGAAGGCTGTTGTTGATGGTTGGAAGACATGGAGGAGGGAAGAGGGAAGAGAGGTTATTGTTTGGAAGGGGAATCCTCCTCCATAAGGATTCTAGGTACCAAGTCCTTATCAAGGCCCACTTCCCTAGCTTAAATATATATTTACATGCAGAAAAGAATGACAGATAATTATAAAACACTAATAAAATGTATAAATGAACATTTAACATCACACTTACCTTTATTGAAGACTCTTGTTGGTGTATGGCAGAGGGGGGAGGGAGGCGAGTTTATTATTGGAAAATATGACACTAATATCAACTCTATGGCTTATTTATCTATCACAATTCAACTAATATGACATAATAAACAATATTAATAACGTAGAAACATAACATATACTCTAGAATGAATAAAATAAGTCATTAGGTATGTCACAAGAGGTTTTCTGTTGTTGGGTGTATAAGGGCCACTGAGAGCATAAGCCGTACATAGTGGTGGTGAAGGTAGCAGCAGAGACGGCGGTGTTTTCAGTAGCCCTATATAACTACAACAACAGGAGGAGTCAGTAGAATCACTGAAGAAGGCACCTTCTACCATCATCACTACCACTACCACCCTCTACCACCACTTTTATTTTTCTACAAACTTTTTCTTGAATTCTATCAAGTTTCTCACATTCTTTACCAAAGGGGCTGGCACTAGAAGCTTTCTTTGGCCCATGGTGGCTTATTTAGCAGTTACACACAATAAACAAGTGCCAAAAGCAATGGATTACAGTATTCCCTCGATAATCGTAGGGCTCGAGAGTCGTAAATTTCGGAAATCATAGTGATATTTTTGTTAAAAACACGGGCTCGCTAATCGTAGATTGATTCGCAGATAGTAGTTCGTCCGGGACACGTACGCACGCTGTGAGCCGGGGCGGCCTCCCTACCCAGCCAGTGTGGCATTGTTTACCAGTGAGCAAAGGTCCCCTCACTTGCTCCTATGAAATATTTCATAATATTCCATTCATTTTAGTGCTTGCAAGTACTAAATAAGCTACCATGGCTCCAAAGAAATACGATTGAATTTAAGAAAAACATCATTGAATAATATGAAAGTGGCGTAAGTGTGGCCGAACTGGCCAGGATGTGTAACAAACCCTATACAACCATATGTTCCATCGTGGCCAAGAAAAAGGAAATTAAGGATGCTGTTGTTGCAAAGGGGGTAAATATGCTGACAAAATGAGATCACCAGTACTCGAAGAGGTTGAGAAGTTATTATTGGTGTGGATAAACGAGAAACAATTAGCAGGACATAGTATTATTACGTTGATTATTTGTGAAAAGGCTAGGCAGTTGCACGACAATCTGGTAAAGAAATTGCCTGCAAATAGTGGTGATGTGAGTGAATTTAAGGCCAGCAAAGGATGGTTTGAGAGATTTAAGAACCGTGGTGGCATACACAGTGTGGTAAGGCATGGTGAAGCTGCCAGTTCGGACCACAAAGCGGCTGAAAAATATGTGCATGAATTCAAGGAGTACATAGAGGCTGAAGGACTGAAACCTGAACAAGTGTTCAGTTGAAGATTGAGACACTTATGCAGCATATGGGAATCTTTATTCAGGAAACGTTTCGCCACACAGTGGCTTCATCAGTCCAATACAAAGAGGAAGGCGTAAGGAGAGGAGGAGAATGAGGTAATCAGTCCCTCAACCTGGAGTCGATGTGTTCAGTCCATCAATCTTGTAGAATGTACATTCTACAAGATTGATGGACTGAACACATCGACTCCAGGTTGAGGGACTGATTACCTCATTCTCCTCCTCTCCTTACGCCTTCCTCTTTGTATTGGACTGATGAAGCCACTGTGTGGCGAAACGTTTCCTGAATAAAGATTCCCATATGCTGCATAAGTGTCTCAATCTTCAACTTGTCGGTTTTTCAAACCATTCATCACAAGTGTTCAGTTGTGATGAAACAGGCCTCTTTTGGAAGAAAATGCCAAAGAGGACCTACATTACACAGGAGGAAAAGGCACTGCCAGGACACAAGCCTATGAAAGACAGGCTGACGCTCATGTTCTGTGCTAATGCTAGTGGGGATTTCAAAGTGAAGCCGTTACTAGTGTACCATTCTGAAAATCCCAGAGTGTTCAGGAAAAACAATGTTATGAAGAGTAAATTGTGTGTGTTTTGGAGATCTAATAGTAAGGCATGGGTCACGAGGGACATTTTCATCGAGTGGTTCAATGAAGTGTTTGGCCCTAGTGTGAAGAATTACCTCCTGGAAAAGAAATTGGATCTCAAGTGCCTCCTAGTAATGGACAATGCACTTGCTCATCCTCCAAACTTGGATGACCTAATTTTCGAGGAGTTTGGGTTCATCACTGTAAAGTTCTTGCCCCCGAATGCCACTCCTCTCCTCCAGCCCATGGACCAGCAGGCCATTGCAAACTTTAAAAAACTCTACACCAAAGCAGTGTTTCAAAGGTGCTTGAATGTGACCTCAGACACTCGCTTGACCCTAAGAGATTTTTGGAGAGAACACTTCAGCATTCTCCATTGCATAACCTTTATAGGTACGGCTTGGGAGGGAGTGACTACCAGGACTTTGAACTCTGCTTGGAGAAAATTGTGTCGACAAGAGGGATTTTGAAGGGTTTGGGGCTGACCCTGATGAGCCTATGTCTGTTGTTAAATCTATTGTGGCACTGGGGAGTTCCATGGGGTTGAATGTGAGTTTGGAGGATGTGGAAGAGTTGGTGGAAGACCACAACGAAGAGCTCACCACTGAGGAGCTGCAAGAGCTTTAGCAGGAAGAGCAACAGATTGCAGCTCAGAATCTTGCTGCAGAGGAGAAGGAAGAGAGATGGAAGAAGGTGCCTTCTTCAGAAATTAAGGAGATGTGGAAAAGTTGGTGGAGGACCACAATGAAGAACTAACTACTGAAGAGCTGCTGGACCTTAATCTGCAACAGCAACAGACCACAGCTCAGGAAATTGCTTCAGAGAAGGAGAAAGAGAGAAGGAAAAAGTTGCTTTCTTCAGAGATTAAGGAGATGTGTGCAATGTGGACTAGGATGGAAAAATTTGTGGAGGAACATTACTCTGACAAAGCTGTTGCAGGCCGTGTATGCAACATTTTCAGTGACAATATCTTGTCTCATTTTAGGCAAATTTTAAAGAAATGCCAGAAACAGACTTTTCTGGAACAGTTTTTTGAGCGACAGGGGTCCAGTGACACTCAAGCTGGTCCTAGTGGCATTAAAAAACAAGAAGGGAAGTAACCCCAGAAAAGGACTTGGTATCTGAAGTCTTTAT